GTGAACCAGCATTATTAGCATCTTTTGTAGGATCCACCTCATGTGAACCAACATCATTAGCATCTTCTGTAGGATCCACCTCACCACCAACATCTTGTGAACATGCATCATGGTATGATTCTTCTTCATCTTCTGGACAATAATTGTCAATTAGAATATCCTCTTCAGTTTGTGGATATTCAATAAGTGGGATCTCTTCTTGTACATCCATAAAATTCCCCTCAATGTCCAATTCTTGTAGAGGGCCATGCAAATCTTCAAAGTAAAGTGGGATGACATATTGCCCAGTATACTTCTTCACCAACTTCAGAATATCACTGTCACTGGCAATCTGAATCACCTTTCCTGTTTGTAGAGTTTTTCCAGGCTTGTGTGAAAAAATATACACAATGGATGACTTGCGACCTGCCTGTCTGTACACATCCATTATCTCATACATAGACAATCTGTCCATGTCATAGTAGTCAACTGCTACTCTTTGACCACCAAAGTAGTGAACAAAGGGCTCCCATTTTATCACTCCACCAACTCTAACATCAAATACAATAGCCATATTCTGCAATTCAACAAGTATGATATGATTAATGTATGAAATCAGTGATCACAACATAAAAAGAATACAAGATACCTATGCATCAATATCACAGAAAGACCCAAATTCTTCTTACAAACAACATCAATAAGTTTCAGATACAAATTCAACATACATATAGGATAAAGTAAACAACATTAATTTCCAAATTACAATCCATGCAAACAGATTCAGTACTTTATACAGATAGTATAAATTGAAACAATTCAACCAAAAAACAACATCAACACTATACTCCATTAAACAATTTCACACAATGAGCACAATTCGACCTAGAAATAGTATATGAATCACCCTAACTCCCAAATCGTCCCTTCGGGGACATCCGATAAAATTGGAACGATACAGAGAAGATTAGCATGGCCCCTGCGCAAGGATGACACGCATAAATCGAGAAATGGCACCCTAACTCCCAAATCAGAAAGCCCTAAATTCACAATCAGAAAGCCCTAATTTCAAAATAAAAAAGTCATATTTTCAAATTCAGAAACCCTAATTTCAAAATCAGAAAGCCCTAATTTCCAAATTCGAAAGCCCTAAACTCACAATCAGAAAGCCCTAATTTCACAAATCATAAACCCTAATTTAAAAATAAAAAACCCTAATTCCCAAATCAGAAAGCCTTAATTCCAAATCAGAAACCCTAATTTCAAAATCAGAAACCCTAATTTCAAAAAAACAGAAGCCTTAATTTCCAAATCAGAAACCCTAATTTCCTAATAAAAAAAACCCTAATTTCCGAATCAGAAGCACAAAAGTTTACCAAATCAGAAGATATCGAGTTTTTCAAATTTTTAAATTTTCAAATGAAGCAATC